CACCTACCGACCTGGGGAGTAGTTTCTCTTTCAGTATCCTATCATTTTGCCTTCTCATACTATTCATGGGGTTCTCAAGGCAAGAATACTGAAGTGATTTGCCATTCCCTTCTCCAGTGGACCACATCCTATCAGATGTAGGGATAACCACTAGACCATTCAGGTATGACCTAAATCAAATCCCTTATGAATATACAGTGGAAGTGAGAAATAGATTTAAGGGACTAGATCTGATAGACAGAGAGCCTGATGAACTATGGACGGAGGTTCGTGACATTGTACAGAAGACAGGGATCAAGACCATCCCCATAGAAAAGAAATGCAAAAACGTAAAATGGTTGTCTGAGGAGGCCTTACAAATAGCTGTGAAAAGAAGAGAAGCAAAAAGCAAAGGAGAAGAGGAAAGATATTCCCATTTGAATGCAGAGTACCAAAGAATAGCCAGGAGAGGTAAGAAAGCCTTCCTCAATGATCAATGCAAAGAAATAGAGGAAAACAACAGAATGGGAAAGACTAGAGATCTCTTCAAGAAAATTAGAGATATCACGGGAACATTTCAGGCAAAGATGGATTGATAAAGGACAGAAATGGTATGGACCTAACAGAAGCAAAAGATATTAAGAAAAGGTGGCAAGAATACACAGAAGAACTGTACAAAAAAGATCTTCACGAGCCAGATAATCACAATGGTGTGATCACTCACCTAGAGCCAGACATCCTGGAATGTGAAGTCAAGTGGGCCTTAGAAAGCATCACTACGAACAAAGCTAGTGGATGTGATGGAATTCCAGTTGAGCTATTTCAAATCCTAAAAGATGATGCTGTGAAAGTGCTGCACTCAATATGCCAGCAAATTTGGAAAACTCAGCAGTGGCCACAGGCCTGGAAAAGGCCTGTTTTCATTCCAGTCCCTAAGAAAGGCAATCCCAAAGAATGCTCAAACTACTGCACAGTTTGCACTTATCTCACCTGCTAGTAAAGTAATGCTCAACATTCTCCAAGCCAGGCTTCAGCAATACATGAACCAAGAACTTCCAGATGTTCAAGCTGGTTTTAGAAAAGGCAGAGGAACCAGAGATCAAATTGCCAATACCCACTGGATCATCAAAAAAGCAAGAGAGTTCCAGAAAAACATCTATTTCTGCTTTATTGACTATGCCAAAGCCTTTGACTGTGTGGATCACAATAAACTGTGGAAAATTCTGCAAGAGATGGGAATACCAGACCACCTGACCTGCCTCTTGAGAAACCTGTATGCAGGTCAGGAAGCAACAGTTAGAACTGGACATGGAACAACAGACTGGTTCCAAATAGGAAAAGGAGTACGTCAAGGCTGTATGTTGTCACCCTGCTTATTTAACTTATATGCAGAGTACATCATGAGAAAAGCTGGGCTGGAGGAAGCACAAGCTGGAGTCGAGATTGCCAGGATAAGTATCAATAACCTCAGATATGCAGATGACACCACCCTTATGGCAGAAAGTGAAGAGGAACTAAAAAGCCTCTTGATGAAAGTGAAAGAGGAGAGTGAAAAAGTTGGCTTAAATCTCAACATTCAGAAAACTAAGATCATGGCATCTGGTCCCATCACCTCATGGGAAATAGACGGGGAGACAGTGGAAACAGTGTCAGACTTTATTTTGGGGGGCTCCAAAATCACTGCAGATGGTGACTGCAGCCATGAAATTAAAAGACACTTACTCCTTGAAAGGAAAGTTATGACCAACCTAGATAGCATATTAAAAAGCAGAGACATTACTTTGCCAACAAAGGTCCATCTAGTCAAGGCTATGGTTTTTCCAGTGGTCATGTATGGATGTGAGAGTTGGACTGTGAAGAAAGCTGAGCGCCGAAAAATTGATGCTTTTGAACTGTGATGTTGGAGAAGACTCTTGAGAGTCCCTTGAACTGCAAGGAGATCCAACCAGTCCATCCTGAAGGAGATCAGTCCTGGGTGTTCATTAGAAGGACTGATGCTGACGCAGAGACTCCAATAGTTTGGCCACCTCATGTGAAGAGCTGACTCATTGGAAAAGACCCTGATGCTGGGAGGGATTGGGGGCAGGAGGAGAAGGGGACGACAGAGAATAAGATGTGGATGGCATCACCAACTCGATGGGCATGAGTTTGAGTAAACTCCGGGAGTTGGTGATGGACAGGGAGGCCTGGTGTGCTGCAATTCATGGGGTTGCAAAGAGTCAGACACGACTGAGTAACTGAAGTGAACTGAACTTAAAATTGATTATTGCGGCATTTTAATGACAGCTGCTTGAAAATCTTTATCAGATGATTCCAATATCTGATTCATGCCAGTGTTGGCATCAGTTTATTATCTCTTCTCATTTAACTTGTGGCTTTCTTGGTTCTTGGTATTATGGGTGATTTTCAATTTTATCCTGGACATTTTAGTTATTATGTTAGGAGACTCCTGATCCTATTTAAATCTTCTATTTAGGCATATATTGTTCAATAATAAGTTACCCTGTATAGTTTTGGTTGCAGGTTCTGGCATGCTTTTGCAAGCTTTAGTTCCAATGACAGTTTCGCTTTCTGAGCCCTTGCAATGCTATTCTGGTCTGTTTCATTCTTCTTTGTTCTTCTGGGGTCCTCACCCAACCCCTGCCGACTCTGTCTGCAGGGCAGGAAGGTACTTTCCTGGCTGCCTTCTGTTGCTGAGTAACCTTCTAGAGTTATGGGTTAACCTTCTAGAGTTGTAGAAGCCACTGTGCCTGAGTCTCTGTGCCACCGGGTGAAGAACAGAGACACGGGGCCTCACTGCTGCAGGCAGATCGTGGGTTGGGTTCTGGATCAAGGGTTGAGATGGCTAGTGGCTTGAATTGTGAAGCAGATTTGGGGACTCTTTACTAGGTTTTTGCTGAACTTCCCCCTAGCCAGGTCCTCTGGAGAATGAGAGAGAAGGTTTTTCTTAGCTGCTTTTGTCTATTTCTGTTGGAGGTTGAAGACTGCCATCCTCTCATGGACCTGGTCTGGGCATGTAGGGACTCACCATTTTGTCATTCCCTGACAAGGTCTTTAGCCAGTCCATCTTTCCAGCTTTCAGAGTCTATTTAGTGCTGTCTGTTGGATAATTTCCAGGGTGTTTAGTTCTGTTTAGTGGAGAATACATTTAGGTTTATTTAGTTACATTCAGTAAGGAAAACTGAGTGAACCCCGTCTTGTTCTGGAACCAGAAGCCCCATGCACATATTTTTAACCATCAAAGAGAACTATTTCCATTCATTTCTTAGCAAAATCTCTACAGTTCAGTACTTTTTTTTTTTTAATGTAGACCCATAAATCTTGCTGTTGGAGATGTGTATAGGAAATCAAAGGATAAAAAATATCTACCTGAAGGCTGTCTGAGTTGAGGCTTTTATTAGTTTGCCTGGGCTGCCATAATAGAGTAATGCAGACTGTGTGGCTTACACAACAGAGCAGTATTTTCTAACAGTTCTGGAGACTGGAAATCCAAGATTAAAGGAGTCAGCAGGTTTGATTTCTCCTGAAGCCTTTCTCCTTGGCTTGGCCACCTTCACTCTATGTTTTTCTCACGTGGTACCCCCCCCCACCCCCACCCCCCGTGTGCATTTCTCTCTTATAAGGACACTAGTCTTACTGGATTAGGGCTCCACCCTTATGACATCATTTAACCTTAATTACCCCTTTACAGGCCCTATCTCCAAATACAGTCACCTGAGAGAGTTAGAGCTTCAGCATAGGGTTTCTCAGACTACAAGAAAAGGAAACCCACTCAGGATAATTGAGATGTTCAGTGTTGGTTCACCCTGCACATAAATCAAATGGGAGCTCCTACGGGTTTCTCCTGGAACCTCAGGGCAATGAGTGTAGTGTAGTCAGGCCTCAGCAAGGGTGAGAGCCATGGACGGGAAATCATTTGGAAGTAAGGCAAGTCATTCTCACTGTCTCTCCCTCCCCTCTTCTCCTCTCCTCACATCTCTCTTTCTCTGCAGACGGGTTTTCTCTGCGTTTCTGCTAACGGTAGAAAATGACAACCCATATCACTCCATCACTCAGTCGAGCACCATCAGAAACAGTCTAGGATAGCTGCGTCTGAAATCTAAATTCCTGAGCAAGAGAATCTGACTAACCATCTTAGGCTGGGGCCCCGGTCAGGCCAGGCCACTGTGGCCAGGGGCAGGGTTCCATCTCCTGCTGCCTCCCAGAGCCTGAGCAGCAGGCGGCCTGGTCCAAGGATGGCATCCCCAGAGTCTATGCTGCTGAAGGAATGGGAAGGACCCATGAGGGCAAGAGAATATTATACATGTTCAATGGCATAATAATCATGAGCTAGGTAGAAACATGCGAGATGTTAGGTAAAAAAGCAGAATGCATTTCACATAAATGTTTTCTAGGATTATGACCAACTTAAAATATGTATACTATAAAGATTAGAAAGAATAAACAGTTAATATAATTATTGTGTTGTGGGGTGGCATGACTCTTTATTTTTTCAAACTTTTCTCAGTTTAAGTTAGTTCACTCTTCTGAGCAAAACAAAACAAGAAACTGACCTCTATGGAGCAGCACTTCTTTCAGAATGGGGGATTGAATGAACTCCCCTTAGTTACCCTGTGACTCATTCCTGTGGTTCTCCATTCCTCTTGCCCTGGCCTTTGGGGAAAAGTTTAATAATATAATTTTATGTTAAAGTGATACACAGAGACTGTGACGTTAGCTTCATCATAAATTTAGAGCAAAGATGGCCAAGAGAGTACATTTCAAATGTCAAATTCAAGTGACTGATAGTAGAGCCTATGTTGACACAGATCATGGAAGATCAGCAGAAAGTATGTCATGATCAATTAGTAATGTCTGCTAGGGTTATGGGAAGGAGAATTGGACACATGCAATCCATAGGACACACATGCAATCCATTTGCCATCCTTGATTTTTGACCACTCATTCTTGGCTCCGACCTCACTCCACAAAGGTTTAAGTCTTCTCACATCCTTTTTTTCATGACTTGTTTTTCCTTGCAGATTATCACCTTCAGGGACTACCTGCCCATTGTGCTAGGCAGTGAGATGCAGAAGTGGATCCCGCCATACCAAGGCTATAACAACTCTGTGGATCCCCAAATTTCCAATGTCTTCACCTTTGCCTTCCGCTTTGGCCACTTAGAGGTTCCCTCCACTGTGTCCCGCCTGGATGAGAATTACCAGCCATGGGGTCCGGAAGCGGAGCTCCCCCTGCACACCCTCTTCTTCAACACCTGGAGGATAATCAAAGACGGTATGTCCTTTTGGGGACACAGTATCACCTGGCTGTCTCACTCTGTAGCCTGCTTCTAGAAAAACCTGGTGTGGAAGTCAGGCTTCCACCACTTCCTATGCGACCTTGGGCAAGTGACTTCACCTCACTGAACCTCAGATTCTTCGTTTATAAAACGGGGACACTAATAATACCTATCTCACTAGGATACTAATGAAATGAAATATATATGTATAAAGCGCCCTATGGTGGCTCCTGACACACAGAAGGTGGTCACTAAGTATTAGTTATTATTCTTTCTTTCCTGCACTGGCCTTTAAGGTGCCAAGTTCTCCCTGCTTCCTTTCCCTCCCTCAGGCTTCCCTGACCCTTGCAGAAAGAATTCCTGTGTCCAGTAAATAAATAGGGCTTCCCCGGGCAGCTCAAATGGTAAAGAATCTCCCTGCTGTGCAGGAGACCTGGGTTTGATCCCTGGGTCAGGAAGATCCCCTGGAGAAGGGCAATGGTGCCCCACTCCAGTATTCTTGCCTGGAGAATTCCATGGACAGACGAGCCTGGCGGGCTATAGTCCATGGGGTCACAAAGAGCCAGACACAACTTAGCAGCTGACACACACACACACAGTAAATAAATTACGATCTTCTGCTCTTCTCTATAGCTTTCCACCTCCATTAAGTGCCAAAGGTTGGACCCCACTCCCCTTTATCCTGGGCTGGACTGTGTTGAAACTGGCTTTTACTTAAGGCCTGACAAGTCAGGGCGTTTCTAGAGATTTCTGCCATCTCTTCTCCTGGTGCACAGTTCCTTGGGGGACCATATGGAGGAGAAGGAGCCAAGTCTCTGAACGGGAGCTTGGAAGAAACCCTGAAGCTTATGCTCACACATCACGGCAGGATGGCAGACGGTGTGGACGGGCCTCCAACCCCCACACACCCTGTGGGCCGCACTGGGCTCTTCTTTCCCCACTTCCAGCCCCAGAGGGGCAGCTGGCCCGTCTTTCACCTGAGAAAGAGAACCTGTCAGGAGGAGGGTGTGCCCGGCAATGGAAGATGTCCCCAGCTGCCCCACCCCCAGCATGACATCTCGGTTTCCCTTGCAGGTGGAATTGACCCTCTGGTGCGGGGTCTGCTGGCCAAGAAGTCCAAACTGATGAATCAGGATAAAATGCAGACAAGTGAGCTGTGCAACAAGCTTTTCCAGCCCACTCACAAGATCCACGGCTTTGACCTGGCTGCTGTCAACTTACAGCATTGCCGGGACCATGGGATGCCTGGTGAGTGGGCCCAGGGTCCAGCCAGGCCTGGGGAATGTTTTGCTACTTTCTGGGGTTCCCAGGGACTCTCCTCTGTAGCCCTGAGAAGCTGATCAGTTCTAAAACAGAAGGCAGAGATGCCTGTTTTAAAAACTCACCTGTGAAATGGCATCTTCCAGTGTCCCTAAGACAGAGGCCAGAGAACATATCTGGTCCTATTCCCAGGCTCCTCAAATGAAAGAGATCAACCACTGACTTGTGAAACCAGTTTAAAAGTCCAGAAAATATTAAGAAAAGAGGGAAAGCGATGACTACTGGACCTTCCTAAATGTAGAACTTTAAGAGCCAGACTGCCTGGTCTCAAATTCTAGCTGTGTGACGTTAGACAAGTGACTGAGCATCTCTGTTCTTCAGTTTACATATGTGTGCAGGGCTTAGGTCCAGTGCCTGGACCCACAGTAAGCACCACATATCCTGCTGGCTCCCTTGAAGCCCAAGTGCCACAGGATAAAACAATGGCTCACTGCCTGTCTGTTCCCAGAGGCTGTGAACACAGACTTTCTGGGGCTGATGGAGCTGGAGTGGGCATGTCCTCAGAGGGTATAAGACCTCTCTGCCCTAGGGTACAACTCCTGGAGGGGCTTCTGTGGCCTCTCACAGCCCAAGACACTGAAGGGGCTGCAGGCCGTGCTGAAGAACAAGATACTGGCTAAGAAGTTACTGGATCTCTACAAGACCCCCGACAACATTGACATCTGGATCGGGGGCAACGCCGAGCCCATGGTAGAAAGGGGCCGGGTGGGGCCTCTCCTGCCTCATAGGGAGGCAATTCCAGCAGATCCGTGATGGGGACAGGTGAGTGAGACCTCAGCAGGGAGGGCAGGGAGGGAGGCCCTTCTTAGGGGTGGGCATTGGGGTGGGTGTCTTGCAGGACCGATGCCAGACCTTGGCATGTTCCCAGGGACCTCCTCCCTTCCCCTTTGGCAGAGTGGGAAGGGGCCAGCAGCTGGGCTGCGTGGAGACCCTGCTTGTGTCTCTGCAGGTTCTGGTGGGAGAACCCCGGGGTCTTCACTGAGAAGGAGCGGGACTCTCTCCAGAAAGTGTCCTTCTCGCGCCTCGTCTGTGACAACACCCACATCACCAAGGTCCCGCTGCACGCCTTCCAGGCCAGCAACTACCCACATGACTTTGTGGATTGCTCAGCCGTTGATAAGCTGGATCTCTCACCCTGGGCCTCCAGGGAGAATTAGGGGCCCGGACTCCGCAGCCTTCCACACTGTGCAGGAGAGCTGTCCTTGGCCATGATGCCATTTCAAGTAGACTCGGTGAGCGGCCCCTCGGGCTCCCTACCCCGTCCCAGGCCTCCTTCCCAGCTGAGTCTCTCTACACGCCCCCACACACACCCTGCTCAAGCCCAGGGCAGCTGCCTTGCCTCTCCAGCTCTTCCTCTGGAGTCCCACCGCTCCACCCGCATCCTCTCCATCTTCGGAAACCATCCTTCTGTCAAGACTTACACCCTCCAAGACACCTTCCGATCTTGCTTGCCAGATGTCACCCATCCTTTCCCCAGACAAGTCTTGGCTGAGGCTGTGGCCTTGACACCGGTATCTCCCCGCCTTGAACTAGATTGTAAACTTCTTGAGCTGGGCCTTCAGCCTGCTTCCACGCGTGTCCTGGGGCCCCCAGCATAGTGCTTGGCACACGGTGAGTGTTCAATAAACACCTGATGATTGACCACAGATGCTGGTGATGACCTTGTTCCCCTCTGGAAGGCAGGCCTTGGAATCACTGCCAAATGAGTAACGGTGTTTACAGTTCAGACATGTCTCACCACGAAGAGGTCACATGCGTGAGTCTAGGGAGTGAGAGGGCCCGGTTTGGTCCCCTCAGCTTCAAAGCACTCTCAAAGAAAAGGAGGAAGGAAGGGGCTCCTGCGAGAAGAAGGCATGGCCGTGGGGTGGCAGGAGAGCTTTCAGGGCATCGCCACAGGGGCAGAGAAATCCAAGCCTGGATTTCCCCCAGAGCTAGTTTGGGGAAATTCCGTGGCAATCCAGTGATTTAGGACTCCATGCTTCCACTGCAGGGGACACAGGTTCAATCCCTGGTCAGGGAACTAAGATTCCCACCTACCATGATGTGCAGTTAAAAAAAAAAGTTAATTTCTTTTCCAGGGGTCCTTCAGGGAAATACCCTCTTCTTCTAGGTTACTCCTGGGAGCCTGTGAGGCCTCTGGCCAGCAGCTCCAGAATATTCCTAGTTTGCCACCCAATACACACTCATGAGTTCTTTCTCAAAGACCCCCCTGGGTAAGGTCAGCCCAGTGGGGATCGCCAGGCCCCCTGACTGGCGGAGCGGGGGTGGGAGGCCTGCAGCCATGCTACAGGAGAGCCGGGGAGCCGGAAGACCTGGGCAGCCCTGGCTCTGGGAACCCCTTCTTGGAGGTCTCATGAGTCCCTTAACCCCACCGGGTCCCTTCCTGTCCTCAGTGAGAGGGGGCTGAGCAGGGTTTCTCCCACTTGGGGGAGGTGCTCATGTGCGGGGCATCCGTGGGCACACAAGCTTCACATCCTTTCAGGCCCCAGCTGTGAGTGCCCCCCTCCCCAAATGTGGGAAGAAGGGAGATAACGGGAGGGAATCCACCAGGCAGGCAGAGGGATTAAGTTCCAGGCATGCTTATCAGGGGAGTCTGCTCCTTCCCCTCCCTCAGCCCCGCCTGCTGTCCTGGTCTGGGCACCCAGCCATGCGAAGGCAAGACTGAGAAGTCGTCTACCGTCCTGGAGCCTCTGACCCACCGGGCCAGCTGACGGGGTCCCCAGGTGTCTTACCACCTGGGCAGGGAACCACCTTCCCATCAAACTCCTGCTCTTTCCTCTCCCGAGTGCCCTCTGTTTCCCAGCACTTGGCACAGGCCCGATGCAGAGCGAGCATGTAGCGAGCATGTAGCAAGCGTGATACTTCCCGGGGCAGCGCACCAACAGAAGGGCTTGGTGCCCACGGTTCCCATTCTCCAGGGAAGGTGAGGGAAGAGGGTCTGCTCAGTTCGGCCTGCCTCCTAGGCATCCAAGACTGACAGCCTTCCATGTATGAATCAGCCCAAGGAGAACGCCTGGCCGTCCTCACCCCCCAGTTTAGAAAGGGCCCAGACCACTCTGGTTCAAGTTCAGAGCCCAGAGCAAGCCTCTTGCTGAGGGTCCAGCCCCACTGCAGACACAGAACAAAGATCCTCATCTGCGGTGCTTTATTATCATAGGCATCAGGTATAAACAAATGGTATAAAGCTGCTCTCCAGGCAGCTCCTATGAATAAGCAAGAGAACAGGGTAAGGAAGAAAAAGGGGAGCCGTGAATGAACCTGGCGAGCCTGGGCCCATAACTCAACCCATGCACAGCCCAACTGCTAACAGCCACTCCTCCGGGGTCGTCACTCCTCCAGGGTCGCTGCTTCACCTCTGTTAACAGGACACAGTCAAGGTATAAGCTCCATGAAGGCAGAAATGGTGTCTGACTCTTTCTGTGTGTTCCCCATGCCTGCCATAGTGCCTGGCAGGTAACAAGTGCTCAATAAACCCAATACTAGAGGATGCAAACAGACCCTCTAAGGAGCCATGACAGCAGTTATTTACAAAGGAAATTCAGGCTTCGCAAGGTTGAGGAACTTGTTCAAGGTCACACAGCTGGTAGGCTGCGGGATCTGTACCCAAGCAGTCTGGCTCCTTAGCCTGTGCGTCTCACCAATCTACTCTGCTGCCTTCCACACACCTAGTATCAGCAAATACACACTCACATACACACAGCACACAAAACTACCCACGTTCACATGCAACACAAAATGCAATTTCGATTCACTGTGCACACACACACACACACACACACACACGAATGTCTAGTTCTTACTGGTGTCTTTGGCTGGCACCGAACAGGGAGGGGCTCACCTAGAGAAGGGAGAGCTCTGTGGCCCCAACCGGCCAGCCCAGAGATGCCCAGCCTTCACTTCCCCGCTGCCCCCCTTACCCTGCCTCTAGTTCTTTTCCCTCCAGGGAGCCAAGTCCAATGCCTGGAGCCTACTGCACTGGACAAAGTCCTGAGGGAATCTGTTGGACATGAAGATGTTGTTCTTGGACACGACGGTGATGCCTGTGTTGTCACAGATGATGCGGGGCAAGGAGATCCTGGCCAGGGCCTGCTGCTGCTGCTTGCTGAACACGCCCTTGTTCTGCCACCAGAACCTGCACGGGAACACCCACGGCCACTGTGCCTGAGGCCCTCCTGGGCTGGGAGGACACCCACTGGCTGGAGCTGTTCCTGGGTGACAGAGGACCACGGCGGACAGCGACTCCATGGCACAGGAGAGTTCCAGGCCCTCGGGCAGCCCGGGGCAGGTAGGGGGGGATTCAAACAAATAGAGCCCCACTCACAGCTGCCCAGGTGCCCCCCCAAACCCGCTCCCATCCCAGCAGCCTCCAGGCATCTCTAATGACAGACGGGCCCACTCCCCCATGAGACCCTGGGCCCTGGACAGGGCTACAGCCAGGCGGGCAGACGGGATCTAGGAAGTAGTGTCTCCTTTGTCCATCCAGAGAGGGACGCCTTGTTAAAAAGTTTCCCCAAGGCACAGCTCAGGCCAGGTGAGAACTGGGTGTGATAGAGGACAGGCCCACGGTGGAATGAAAACAGGAGCAGCGGCAGGGTGAAGCAAAGATGGGACCTTCCAGTGGAGACTGGTGGCCCCGTGACTGCACCCGGGACCCGGAGAAGCAGTGACTAAGGGTGGCATTTTCTCTCCCCGCTCCTTGACAACCACAGGTCCAGATAACTCCTTTTTGCACCCTCAACAGCTTCAAGGTACATCGGTGACGACCTTGAGGCTCCCCAGAACACACTGGAAAATCACGGACTCCTTCCAGCAGGAGGAAGCTGGGGGTCCCCCTGAGGATCAGGGGCAGGCCTAGAGCTACGGGGCCTCTGTCCTCACCGGTCACCGTCGCGGAGCTTCCTGAACTGGGTGCCAATGAGGCAGGCGAGCAGCGGGCCCACACGGCCATTTTTGTTCAATGGCTCAGCCACGCCACCCATCCAGATATCAATGTTGTTGGGCGTGTGGTAGAGGGCCATCAGCCTCCTCGCCAGGTTCAGGTTCCTCAGGACTGTGCCCAGCTCACCCACCGTGTTGGGCACTGGGAGCCCACAGAAGCGCCTCCAGGCATTGTACCCTGTATGGGAGGAGCAGAGGGTGGTTGTGGGTGGGTCCCAGAAAGGCCACCCTCCCAACACAGTGAGGCTACATACAGAGGTCCATGTGGGAAAGGAGGACACAAAGCGGCTGCTACCCATCTATAAACCCCCAGGGAATCCTCTGGCCTCCCGGGGAGCCTGGGCGCAGTTGGGTCTCTCCAGGAGCCTCTCTGTCTTCCCCTACCATTCCCACTCTAAGATAAATCCTAAATGATCATCACTCCTGCTGGGTCCAAGAACAGGAGCATCTCCTTGCCGTCTGTGGAGATCTCAGACCCGCGATGGGTGAGGTGTGTCTGGAAGGACTAGCCCCATACAGCTGTCCCACAGCACAGGCATCAGCAGGATGGTACGCTGATCTGGCCTCCCGTTCCAGCTCTGTCCCTGACTCTGCTGGAGAATCGGGGCAGGTTAAGAATTTCTCCAAGCCTCAGCTTCCTCATCAGTAAAATGGTGGTGGTTTAGTCACTAAATCATGTCCGACTCTTGCAACGCCATGGACTGTAGCCCGCCAGTCTCCTCTGTCCATGGGATTCTCCAGGTGAGAATACTGGAGTGGGTTGCCATTTCCTTCTCCACACCAGTAAAATGGAAGTGATAATAATCTCCTCCCCT